TGAAAAGGAGAAAAAAAAGCTGCCATAACGACAATCGCGTTAAAGAATCTAGTAGCGAAACATCACTAAAATGTCAAAAAATGCCATTCGCTAGATTTTGATGGCTTTGCCATGAAACCAGTTTTGTCAGGTTATAGTGCCTATGATTTTGTTTGCAGGCAACTTTGTTACTGGTTCTTTGGATCGAAGCGATAGTTTCAGCTACAGTATTACTTTTAGTGAGAGGGAAAAAGAAGAAAAAATATGAAGTCAACCTTTCAAAAATTGATTTTTGTTACTCGAGCAAAAAGTTTTTAGTTTGAAAAAAAAAAAAAAAAATTACAGCTTTACAGTTGATTATGCTGACCGGCTGAAATATTAACAACGTATTACGGGGATTATTAAAACAATTATGGGAAGTTTCACTTTGCTTTCCTGTTTAATGACGTACGCTGGTTTTCAAAAGTTAAGCAACAAATGGAAATCTGATGATAATTCAAAAAGCATGTAAGCAAATTGGACAAAACTTGATAATAATATTCATTATACCGCTGTAGCTTAAAAACATAAGAATTTACAGAATATTTACATTTTGGGATATCAACGGGAACAAAAAAAAATTAAATTTAAAAAAAAAATTTAGTAGCGAGTATAGTCACTGTGAATAGCAATAGAGTCCTAAAGCCAGTCTCGTGCTGTTTAAGATGTTATCAATCAGCTGAATGTGTAGCTATACTTATTAATCACATAAAAGTGTTCTAAGCTTTGGGAAGAAAGTTGGAGGCTAGAAATACAGCTCCAGATAGTGTAATACACTTGCTCAATGGGATTAAGATCAGTAGAGAGTGCTGGCCATTCTATTTGGACCCCAATATCTTCTTCAAGATATCGGTGCACGAGGCGAGCAGTGCGAGGTGGGCATTATCTGCTTGCAAAATGAAGGTATCGCTAGTTGTAGCAGAGTACGAACAAACAGCAGGATTTAGTATGTCGCCCCTCTTAGTTCTGAGAGTTCCATGTTAGCAGCACATACATCCTCTGCACCGCCTAAAGATACTCCTCCCTATAAAAGAACATTACCTCTTCCAAAGGTATCCCTTTTCCGTATGCTATATAGGATGATATTGAGTGTTTTCTTCTCTCCATATGTAAGCATGTCGAGAATCACTCTGTAAAGAAAAGCGACAAGAAAACAGACTTGTACTTATTTTCAGTCTAGTTTACATGACTACGTGCTTAATTCAAACGTTCCCTTCAGCGGCAAGAGGTAAGCAAAACGCACAATGCCAGTCGCCTAACATACAGATTTCTTTCAGGTAGCCTTCTGCGTACTATTGTGGCTGATACTGTCCTTCCTGCAGCAGAAGTGAAGGTGGATCTAGGCAGAGATGGAATTGCGGGCCTGTTTCGACATGTACTATGTCGCAAACACTGCTCATCTGCAGAAGTGGTAACTCTTGGCCTACCTTCGGGTGGCCTTCGAAAGTTTGAGCCAGGAGTTAAAAATTGGTTCCACAGCCACAGGCAGGCCTTACCCTGAACGGCCGACATTTAACCATTTTGCAACGTCGGCCTATCGTTGTCCAGCTTCTAACCCCCCCTATAGTTCTACAATGCAATTCTGCTGGCAAATGCAGTCTCATTTTCCTTTTTACACTTTTGGCTATCTTTAAACTTTTTTTATATACTTTCGTTCGTTGAATAACGATTCCCTTCTAAACAGCTGGTTTTAAGCTACATCATAGTTGCATAAAGTGATGGCAGCCTCGCTTTCTTTTGAAGCTTGATTTTATATGTAACATATCCAAATTTCAAGAATGCTGAACTACTTTTAAGCAATTAGTCGCGATTTTTTTGCTTTTGCTTAATTTTTGGAAATCACTGTATTAATGTTCTCCATCTACAAATTTCTCTAGAGGTTTACGAAAGTAAAAGCAGTTAAGCGTAGAAACTCTAGAAATATCACCACCATCTGTCTATTTTTTCTTCGTTCCTTAAATGGAATTAAATAACTCAGTTCTACTAAATACTGGCATACGAACTGATCTTTAATGTCAAATAACTTTTATATTTTCTATTTTACTATCATTGATGAAAACAGTTCAAAGCTTTTAATTCCTAACGTAATATTATTCCAAGTATATGAAAGAAAAATTATTCATCATTCAAATTAAATTTAATTACTTAATTTAAGTAATGAACATAAGGGCTAACTGTTTGAGTTTCATTTTACTTTTCATCAAAGGGCCCCAGGGGATTAAATTTAAATCTGCGTGTAAGCAAATAAGGTGAGAGCAAATGCGATTTTAAGGTAGAAAAGGAAAAGAATATTGTGCATTATTTTAACCGCACGTACTATAGTTGCAATATTTTTCTTTTTTGAGAAATTGGTTTTGTAAATTATTTTAATGAATCATAATGTTTATCACGCGCAGAGTTGGTATTTATACTTTTTTCAAACTTTTCAGAGACTTGAATGTGACTGAATATTACTTAGAACTTCTAGCATTTCCCGCTATTGTCGATGATTTAAAAATTTCTTTTATATTATTTTATTTTAATCTTACTTTGCGATCAGACTGTTTATATTATTTGTCATAATTTCTGCATATAGATATTGTTTTATATGATTTGTATTCACTCCTATTGCTGCTTAGCAAAATGCTTTGCTACCGATGACATCGTTTATAATTTATAAGATGAAAGGTCTATTTATTTAAGTCTCCTATTAATATATTAAATCTATATAAGATAAAATTCTACTATTGATCCATAGTAATGCGCATTGCGTCAGGAAAAGTCCCTGTATTTTATGCTAATAAAGCATGAAAATTATTACTTGTGAGGTATAACAATTAGTTTTTGTCAAATAAATAATGAGCAGTTTGATATAAGATGTAAAGCACAATTTTGAGAGGAAAAATAAACCTTACTTAATATAAAAAAGAGAGAGAGAAGTGCATGAAAATGTTAATATTTTTTTTTATTTATATTATAAGATAAAGCTTTGAACTTTATCTGCATTTCTTTCAGACTTTACTTACTTATTTTACAGTCAATTATTTTTTCAGGCGTTAAAAAAAAAAAAAAAACTTCAGAACTTGCTTGAATAAATATCTAACAAATTGCTTTGAATAAAATGGTAAAGTCTCTCGAAATGCTTTAATTCACTATTAATCATAAAACAAACAGTATTTAAGACTACATTCTTCTGCAGGGATGTAACATTATTTCATTTGACTAAAACACAAACGAAATCGTCATGGAAAAATGTTAAGATACTCCCAAACTTTGTGATTTGAGGATTTAATTTGCTGCTTCTAATCGTAATTTAGTCTCCCAATTTCAACTCTAAACTCTCCGCAGCCTCTTTCGAAAGCAAACATATCTTTATTTCACGGATTTCTCTCCCCTGTTTGAGGAAATATTCCTGAATACTCTTCCCAAATGCTCTCCTTTAAAAATTATAACAAGCTAAATGGGAAAACCGGTACTCGTAGACGTCCTACTAGAAGAGTTGTCGGCGCGAAGAGAGAGAATTGACTATTCAATAAAGTCAATAGTCTTTTAGGTGGCTCCTGGTGAAGGGGGGAATTGGGGCTCGTTATAATCTCCTCGGCAGCGCATTCAAATAGCTCACGGCCTAATCCTATGCACGCTGCCTCTGGGAATCCATTTCACCCTAGCGACTGTCTCCACCACAACCAATCGGTGCTCCGGAGAGACAGCCCTCCCTGGTTCAGAAAGGGAGGGAAATATCGTAGCCACATTGGGAAAGGGTCACGTGACGCACCAGCCTCCCCGCCTCAGGTCGTCCCTCCTCCTCCGCATCCTCTCTGAAACGCATGTCGCCATCTTTGGTTGCTTACTTCAGCAAGTGATATGCAACATCATCCACTAACATTCAGAAACCCAGACACTATTATAGATTCTCACGACCATAATACATGTCTACGCTTAATGTCAGGTCTTGGAAAACTACGAGCTGCCAAAAACATTTATTTAAAAATAATTTTATGAGCAAGAAAAATTTCGATAATCAATTTTAGATAAAATATTTTTTCAAAGTTTCCGTTAACTTTTCATCTTGTTTAACAGTAGCAATTTTAGATGCATTGGTTAAAAGCCAGGCTTGTAATCCAGATGAATAAATCACTACTTTGTCAAAAATTTGCACTTAGTTTCCTTCATCAGATGATTATCATCCTTTCTCAAACAATGGTCAGAAACTAACTCTGTTTCTATGGTTTCCGACTGCAGTTAATACGAAATAGCGACTGAATACTGTTTGGGATCGTTCTTGGTCTTCACTTTTAGCTAGTCAAAAAGTAATTCATCTTTCCCTTAAACAGTTATATGACTAAGACAAAAGTGGGTATTGATTTTAGAATATTTCTTCCTCAATCCTTTGACTCTTTATTTCATTTAGATGTTAAATTTATGTTTCAAATATGTTTCTTGATTAAACTGGAGTTTCAAATATGACAGTTAAAAATTTGGGACAGTTTTGATAAATCTTTGTCAAAATTTTATTCAACTTTTTCTTAATATATTTTGCAGCAGGATTTAATCAACGCAATATATTGTTCTGAAAATAGAGATTACAATAATTCATTCAAATTCTTTTATATCCTGTTTAGAATAGCTTAGTGCTACAAATACTGCTATTACTTTTATTGATTAAATTTTAAATGGAGTACACCCGGCCAGAAGACCAGCATACCTAATAGAAGAATCATATCTTCAATAGCAAAGCATTTTTCTTTACTGATAAAACCGTTTAAATAACATAAAATAGTTATTTAAAAAAAATACGTTTTATTCTATTATGTGACATTAGAAAAAGATTACAGATCTTTTGTTGCTTAAACGTAAGAAAAGCGGTGGAAAACTTAATTAAAAGTTTAACTGAAAATATGAATTGGTCTGCATATTACAACCTATAAGTTAAGATCGATCTTCTGAAAGAGAGAAAAAGTAGTTTCAAGCAGTTTTAAAAACACTGTCTGCTGATTAATTACCTGTTCCTTGCCGCGTGTGATGATGATCATCTCTTCGTCGGTCCCCTTCAGATTCTTTGTCCACCCTTTTGCTGTCTGAGTCTTTGATCCTCTGGTCCGTTTCGTCTCTGTCGTCAAGATCGTCATCCTCGCATCTGTTTCTTGGCGACCACGTCATTTTGTTCTCTTTTTTCAGCCTCCGTCGAGCGTTAGCAAACCAGGTGGACACTTGGGTGAGGGTCATCTTTGTGATAATGGCCAGCATGATCTTCTCTCCTTTCGTTGGGTAAGGATTCTTGCGATGTTCGTTCAGCCACGCCTTCAAGGTGCTCGTCGTCTCTCGCGTTGCATTTTTACGTCGAGCCCCATTCAGATCAACACCGTATCTATTTGAGGGAAAAAAGTACATTAAAAAAAAAAAAAAAAGAAATGTAAATTTTCTTTATGCTAATTAATTAATTAAATAGTTATTTTATGTTTTGAATCTTTACTGTCACATCCGTTTTCCCGCCAGAATCGGATCCCTAATCAAAAGCAGTCTGATGAATCTACGCAAACATCCATTGTTTTAAAAGGCATTTTCTCGCTCTTTTTCACATGCCTTCGTAGTGTAATGGGAAGCATACACGACACGTATTCGAAAGGTTCAGAGTTCGAGTCCCGGTGAGGGCAATGCACTTATTTCACGTCTCCTGTTTAAAAAATATTCTAATGACTCTACATTGGAGCTGGAACTAAAAATGTGACGAATTGTGATTCGCCGCCACCAGGATTTGACGACTAGGTACCCTATTCCCCAACCACTCTTTAGAAAGGGAAGTATATAAGGTACTTTCTCCCTCCTTCCCGGATGCCTTCGTGGTGCAATTGAAAGCATACTCGACAGGTGCAGGATTCGAGTCTCGGTTAGCGGAATTGCACATTTTTTACGTTTTCTGATTAAAAAATAATAATAATAATAATAATAATAATAATAATCTGAAATGTTTCAGATTTTAAATTACGTCCAAAGGGGCGTTTTTTAACATTTTGTGTGTTACCTTTCTTTATTAAATATCATGTTCCTCGCACTTAAACCATAAGATCCAGCGCAACAGCAATATCGCAAAATAGTTTTAAAACGAGCATATCTTTAGAATTTCCGATACAGAGACTCACGCGCTGGAGATAAAATTGTTTTTTCTGCACAACGTTGCATTGCTCGCTTTGAAATCCTTGAGTTTGTTAATCAAAAATTCGTCAAAGTTTTAAAGAATAGGAAATCGATCATAAAACAAATTTCAAATTTCAAATTTGGTCTTCCACATGCTCCATATTCGTTGGTAGAATTACGCCATTCGAAATTCGATGTCTCTATGTACCGTTATTTTATGACAATGTGATAAATATGCACACATTTACGCAGATTTTCATTATTTGATTTCTTCAAATATAACGCAGGACTCTAATATTTTGGTGGCAAACAGGTTTGAAAAGTGAACCGACATTTATCCGTCCGACGCAAAATGCCAAAACGAAACTAATAGTCCTTCGGGATTCAAATCCCTTTGGACTGAAAAAAAACTAATGACTCTACATTTAAGATATTCAGCATTTTAAAGGTTATTTATTATATTATAATAATATAATAATATTACATTATAATAAATAAGTAAGTTCCCTTGCCTAAGTCTGAAGTCAACTCATTTACTTTACCTGTTATTCCTGTGCATTGTGCATTATTGTATACTGAAGCTTATATCAGTCAACATAATATCAATGGCCGCCCAGACGGCAAAGTGGTTAGTGACACTTACTGCCTCACCGAAGGACCCGGGTTCAAATCCCGTAGGAGGCATGGATGTAATTCTCCCGTCCCTTCCTAGCAGGCAACGGTGCCCCACCTATTAGGCACCTCCATAATAAAGATACTACATCTTCCGGCCTTAGTACTGGTCAACGCCTTTATAAATGGCTAGAGGTTGCCATTGGCGGGAAAAATTATCAACGAAAAACTGCGGAAATCTATTGCAGTTTTCTAGTTAGAGACTGGTGTTTCTCATTAGATAAATTAAAAACGCTATTCGGCTCATAGGTATGTATCATATATCTCTGACTTATTCAGCAAAAATACATCTGAGAAAAGCTTTGAGATAAACTGGTTGATTAATATGTTTTCCCCTCCTTCCTTTCCCTACCAATCTGACCTCTTGGCGGCAAGCTTCGTTGTGCTTGCATGCAGTTAAAAACGCTGCAATTTATATCAGCGTGGTATTTTTGTGACTGCTAAATAACATTAATCATGCAAAAGGTGCAGCTTTTAGAATAAAAAAGTAACTATTTTCCTTTCCCTAAATGCTGAATTAATCGCAGACATCGATCAAGTCCGTGTCAGCACACACACACACACACACAATGCGCTTGCCGTTTGTAATCGATCCGGACACACACATACGCGACAAAGCTTTCTGAAACAGATATCGAAAGCTCAAATGATTGCCTTACAGTGCATTCATATTTTACAGTGTGGGGTCGAAGGGGCAATTACTGACGAAATTGAACGCCTAATAACGCGGGGTTCGGAACTCGGTACCACGCATATCCTATGCACACGCGTCCAGCGCGCGCGAGTGTTATTTCTAGCTTGGTGTGGTTGCATGATCAAACCCGTATTAATAATTTCATATTATTACGTGGAAATCATGGAGCGTGTCAAAAATTATAACATGTTTAGAAAATTACCCTGATTTTAGGCTTAACTGCTAAAATTGAAAATTTAAATTTTACAGGACTTTTCTTTTCCTTATAAATTTTAAATGCTTTCCATTCAGGCACCTCCATTCCAGAAAATTTTTGCCAGAAAATTTTTTCTGGCATAAATCTTTTACAAGCAGTTTTATAGTTGATATATAAAATATTCAGAGGCCATTTTTTATGCTCTTTAAAATAACATCAATTAACATGAAAATAATTTTTTATAAACTCTCTTATGAAACTCATCGAAAATAACACGCCAGTGCTTCATATACGTCGACGAAATATGAGATCTTTTAACTTATAGTACATTGAGTAACACAATCATTCTCTGAAGTAATACAGCATTGCTAAGACGTGTTTTTGCGTGTGTTTACTAAATGGATTTTCCAGAAGCTTACAAAGAGAATTCAGATTTTCAAATAAATCATTTTCTGATTTCATTTTGTTTTTCAAAAACATAATTTTTATTAATTTCTAGACGTGGACCTATTTAATCTACCTAGCCAATGTATTCGGATTTATTTATGTATACCTCAGTCCCCCCCCTTTACCAAATTGATGCACATTTGATATAATGTAGAGTTTCTGAATTTTTAAACAGCGAGATGACAGATCTCATACATCACAATTTTAGACTTTTTTAGAATTAGTAACTAGCTACTTGGTAATCGTTATTCATTTTTTGTGATATATCATTTTTTCTATACCAGAAACATTTCGAAATCGGTCTAAATTAAGGCCTTCTGAGATTACAGCTTTATTTTCTTTGGCGAAAGTCCACACTGTTCGATACTCAGATAATGTTCAGCTTCAAATCCATAAGCTATTTTTTCTTTGTTCGTTTGATTTTATATTTATATGAAGAACCCGACATAGAGATATCATTAAATAAATGATTAATGAACTGTGTAATACATATGCAGTATATAATAATTCATTACGTGTGTTAATTACTTTAGTAATTTTTATTTTAATATGTTATGAAAATACCCATATGTAATTACGCGTTTCAGTAATTTTTTTCTTTGGTAATTGTGTAATTATGTTCTGTAATAATTTTACTTTAGTAATTGTGTAATTCTGTTCTTTGATAATTTTGCTTTAGTAATTTTTACTTCACTAATTGCGTAATTATGTTCTTAAGCAATTTTACTTTAGTAATTTTGAAATTATTTTCTTCATTAATTTTATACTTTATTTATTTTACTGAAATGCAAAATAACTTAGTACAAAATTACTAAAAAATACTTTACTTGTTAAAGTGCAAAATTACAAAATTATGTATTATTCAATTTAGTAATTCATTATGCAAAACAGATATTTTACACAAAATTATTATTTTCACCCCTTTTATTATTCATAATTACTTGCTAATATGACAGCAAATAACCATGAATAATCACTTAACTAAGCAAATAACCACTTTACTAAGTATCTACTGAAGTTTTATGAATGAACTATCATATTAAGAAATTTCCTAAATTTGGTCCGAACTCAGAAATATAAATTTTTCTGAAATATGTTTGCGTTTTGCATAGCTTTCAACACTGAATAAAAGTATATTGAACAACGCGTACATAATCCTTAATTTATTAATTCACTGTTTTAAGCCATATTTGTGCAATCTAAATATGTCTAATTCATTATGCAAAGTTTATCCTCCTTCAGATTGAAGGAAAACCGTAACATCTTCTACCTGTTTAAAATAATCTGGCAGATATTTCTTTTCTCAATAAAAAAACAGACGGAATTAACAAAGGTAATGGTATTGGACACATTTGTTTCAGAAACAGAAAGAGCATGATGCGCTATTTGCTTTTTTAACTACTGTAATAATGGCTTTGATGTTGCAATATTCTAATTATAGTAATGTTATGTTATGAAAATATAATCCAAGTCCAGAAAAATTTCTACACAAGATCTTTTGTCACTGCATGGTTACATTACATAACCAGAGCGTTCGCCAGACTTATTTCGTCCACCGGGCACATCTGAAAATCGAAATCGTCAGATGTAACATCACAGCACTGAGGAATTCAGTTACAGTAATACATCAGAAAGTAATACGGATAAGAAACTCGCGAGGTGAAGAGATAACTGCTTCAGTATGATGTATGGCATAAAAGCAAGCATTTGGGAAAATCCTTTTAAAAATAAAATCGTACTTTCTGGCAATAGAACGCAACACTCACATCATGTCAATTACTTCTGTTAATGTCGCTTCTGTTACCGCTTATCACCCTTGTTGTGTTTGTTACTTTCATTTCATATCGGCCAGCTTTTAACACCAGCTGTATTTCTCTTGGCTGTTTATGTCCATTGCATTTCTCCTTGACTGACTAATCCTCGTACTGGTGATATGCTTGAAGCACTAAACAATTACAGTTACAAACTGCACCTACAGAAAGTAAGAGTTTTCTGATTCCGTGTTAGGCAATAGTTGCGTGTGCGCGACACGTGCAAACTGTATTGCTCTGCGGTTGCGTTAGCACGAGAATGTGCATGCGACAGATTTTAGAATTGTAATAATTACTTACACCTATATTGTCTGACGCACGAGTCTTTGAAGTAGTATGGCTTTTGTATACTAGACGCCAACAAATCGAAAAGAAAAAGAACTAATCCGTGATTGCAACGCGCGTGTGGCTAC